GAAAACTATAAGCTTTCACATTAGAAAGTCGTAAATTTTCGTAGATTTTTTTTTGTCACGTGAAGCCCATGAAGTGGGAAGAAAATTTCACATTTTGTCCAGCTCATAGTTTTCTATATATAAAAATTATCAAACTCACAGATATTCAAGAAAATAATGACCTTTCGAAAATAAAGATTTTAAGCTTTAAAACCCTTTTTTTGGATATAAATTTTATTTTTACGAAGTTAGAGTTGTCTGAATTTTGCCTACACTTTTTAAGAAAAATTAAGTATTCCTTTACATATATATAATTTTGGTATATATATATATATATATATTATTTAATACTATTTAAGCGTTTTTACAAACCTGCAGCTTAGCGAGGAATGCTCTTACAGAGGTCGTTGGTCCACTCACAACAGAATTACATAAGGTATTGTAACAAGCTACATCAATATCCGATGGACAGAGATTTTTCACAGTTTTAGAATCGAGATTAATTTCAGCCATTAAGCCTTCTATTATTTTTGACTTAAGAAATGCTAAGCCGACATAATATGCTAACATGATCGTTTCTTCAGCTGTCAAGCATCCATCGGCATATCCACAAATCAACTCGCCAATGGAGTGACCCATTATAATATCAGGAATGATACCAATACTTGTTAAAAGATCAAATATCCCGATCTGCAATACATATAATTTTTTATTACAACTTTCTAATGTATTTTTCTGTTGAATAAAATAATATAAAATATTACAAATTCAGCATTCTGCATACAATTATGTATATGTAATAAGCTCTTTTTGATTTTAGTTATATATTTTACAGATATTATTAGTTTATAAAATATTGATCTTTAAATATAAGAGACTTTGTAAAAAAATAGACAATACAAAAAAATCCTGCGGCATATACTATAGACGATATATTTTATTTATAAATATATGTTTATACCTGTAATCCAATAAGGCCTACAAATAAATTGACTACGTTATCGACAATATCTTTGTCTTCATTTGTTAGAATACCTGTCACCGATATACCGTAAGGTCTCAAAATTGTGTCGCATTTCTGGACTGTTTTAATGAATGCTGGAAATTTCATTAAAGCTCGACCTACCAATATTTAAAAAGAATACTCGTATATAATTACATTATTTTATAATGTCGTGTAATACATAGTCTTAAATAATATTTTTGCTTATTTGATCTAAACATATATAAATAAAATCTCTGGAAAAACTGCTGATCTTTATTTTATACGTTTTTCCTACAGTATTATTACTATATTTTAGTTTAGTTTAATCAAAATTTAGTTATCATATCTAATAAATATAACTCAAAGGATTACAAAATTCACAAACTGCAGATATTATACGTGTTAACTTTGTTTTATGTTTTAACAAATACTTAAGAATATTAACATATGTGTAAATTAAAAATTGTTAAATGTTAATTGCAAATAAACATGTTACATCTTAATAATTGTTAAATATTACATTGTAATATGATATTTTTGTGATTTACTTACCCATGTTAAGACATTGAGATCCAATTCCAGAAAATATGAAGCAAATCGGTCTTTTTGCACATAAGTTGCGTTCCATTTTAATTATTGCGTTATCGGATACGTTGGATCCAGCAATTATGTATCCTCTGTAGGAATGACCTTTTATATTGTCACTATGAATATGATGTAGGAGAGAAATATATTCTACATCTATCGATCGACTCTGGACCTATAGAGATATCGTTACTAATCGTAAGTATACGACAACAATCTTATATCTTAATTAATAGCTTCTTCTCAAAATTAATTTTTTTTAAATTGAAATTATATATATATATATATATATCAAAGTGACAATGATTGCCCACCTAGTACATAGCATTATTTCTTATCAAAAACTGAGACGAACAGTCCTGAGCCATTTTTTTTTATAACGCTTAATAAAGGAGTTATTATTGAGTAAAGTCTGGCCAATCAGTTCCGACCTTTAGCCGGACGCACGTCGGTGAGCTGCGCACGGTAAAGTGTGCGCCGCCGCATACTACGAGAGTGATGCCATTTCTGCGTTTCGCGCCCGCTGCCTGCGCGTATGGAGGGGGTAGCGCACACAAGGAACGAGGAACGAGCCGTGTACGTGTGCACTCGCCGCTCGGGCAGAGTCGGATAATAGAAGAGAACAGACATAGAATGCGCTGTCTCTGTCTCTTTCTTTCTCGAGCGCGAGCAGTAGCAATAGCTACAGCTGACAATAAAATATCGAGAATCGATAATACATGTTAGCGTTTGCGACTTGGCGCTTGGCTCATCTATTAAATCCTCATATACAAACTATGAATAAAATAAATTTAGCAATTGTTTTCTAACCTTATAATTATTTTATACATAACAAATATTAATTAAATAGAAAGAGCTTGAAATGATAGAAGTCTACTCTTGGCCAACATGCCTTTTCAAAAAATTAACTATTATTGAGTAAGAAAAATGAATTGACACTAAAAAATTAAATAAAAACTAAATTTTATGTCATTTGTTCTACGTAACTTATTCTATTATCTATTTTTTTTATAAATAGTCAACGTATATGTTGTTGCTCAACGGAAACCGCGGGAAGGTGGTGGTTTCCTCCGTCATGTTGGCCAATAGTGGATTTATATCATTTCAAACTCTTTCTATTTAATTAATATTTTTTATGTATAAAATAATTATAAGGTTAGAAAACAGAAAGATAGCTTCAAGAATCAGTCCCCACAGTGAGTGGAGGTCGTCAAATATTAGACAGAAATAACATGCTTTGTATTATCATTCTATCTTCGTCTTTTCATCCCCTCTACTTTTCTGTTTCCCAATCAACGAAAGCTTTTCTACCACGCATCTTTAGACAAAGAAATTGG